TTCAGGTTCTTTCTGTGAATTAGCTTTTGTTTTTTTTGTTTGTTTGTTTTAACTAGGTGTTGTATCTTTTTTAACTGAATTATAATTATTTTATATTGTGGATGTTCCAACACAGTGTTTTGGGTATATCAGTTTTGCATTTTTTTCCTATTGATTTGATGTGCCAGGGCTATGTCACTTTCTAAACATAGATATGAGTTCCAGATCTGTTACTCAACTTACTGTACCTATTTTTGTTGCTTTGGGTCTGTTTGTCTGTCTGCCAAGAAACTTTAATGGTATGTTTGATGCCTCTTAAGCCAGTACGCTTTCATATTCGTTACTCTCCAAAAGAAAGAGCTTTCTGTTTACTTCAAAATCCCAGTACTTGGGAGGCTGAGGCAGCGAGGATCACTTGGCTCCCAAGAGTTTGGGGCTGTATTGGTGTTGCTGTGATCGTGCCTGTGGCTTAGCCACTGTACCTACAGACTGGGCAACATAGTGAACACCCCATCTATTTAAAAGGTAAAAAAAAGAAAGAAAGAAAGAAAAAAGAAATTAGGCCTGTCCTTTCAAGTTCTAAAATGGAAAAACTGTTCTTATTTGGGGTTTTATATTTTTTGGATTGCATTGAAATTAATTATCAAAATTTGGGGAGAATGGAAATCTTTGGGAATGTGGTGCATTTTATCAATTTTCATTCAAATCTTTTGTGTCCTGAAATATAATTTTGTGGTTTTAATTTCTCTAGGGTCTTAGATATTCCTAGATATGGGTTTGTTTGATGCACTTGTGAAAGAAATCTCTTTTTGGCTATTGGTTGCTAGTTTTTTCATTTGATTATCCTGGATTTCCTCATACCACGTGGTCATATGATCTGGCAAACCAATAGTGGTTTCTCCCTTAAGTTATGATCTGTACTTTTTTCTTGTCTGTATACAATAGTTGAGGATCTCTGGCAATTAATAGCAGTGTTTGCATGTATCCTGTTCTTATTCTTGGATTTTAAAGGGAATGTTATAGAGTTTGGGAACCACTTAATACAATTTGTGTTGACTGGAGAGTGTAACGATATTGCTTGTCTCCTGATGGTGAACGAGTAGTAGTTAAACGTTCGCCGCACGTAAAACACCCCTAATGTCATGCGTTGAGTAATGATTATTCCTCGATATATATTTTACTCAGCTTTTGATCAAGCTCGACGCTAGTATATTCGACGTTGAAAATCTTGTGTAGTATCCCTATTGTTCGGCACCTTTATAGAGGTTGTCTATGATTTTTGTTTGGTTATCTTGAATTTTGTCCTTTGGTGCAGAGTTTTTCTCTTGGGAGAAAGATGATCTGTAGAAAAACCTGTTCAGCTGCCGGAGTCTTTTCAAGTACCTCTGCGCATATGTTTGTGAAATCTGAGCATTTATCTGGAGAATACCGTTGATACACTTTATTAAGTCGTTATTATTCAAAAACATGTTGGGTCTTATATCTTTTGGGATAAATCATGGATTGCCCTTTTAATCTTTTTGTAGTTATTGGTATAGGAGGTTTTTACCACTTCTTGAGTCAAACTTTTGAATTTGTATTTTCCTCACGAGAAGTCATTCATTTCACCTTGATTTTCAAATTTAATTGATATAGAATAGTAAGTCATTAGTTTTTAAAACTCTCCTTTCTATTTGTGTTATATCTCTTCTTATTCCTAGTGTTGTGTATTGTATTTCTCCTTAATCAGACCTTCCGTAGAGGTTTCAGTTTTTGTTTGTGTCTAAGAAACAGTACTGTTCTTGTATTTTCAATGCTAATGCCATATTTTTACTTTACCTCGAACCCATTTATAAGTGCAATTGCTTGGTTTCTTTTCAGGATCATATTAAATCTTTCCCTTTTACCCTTGTATAAGTGCTAACTTATCCCCGGATAAGGGGAGTGTGTGGTGTGGGTGGTTGGCTATTTATATGATGCCATTTCTCTGTAGTTTTATTGTTGTCCAGAGGAATACGAGCCTGGTTATGGAGTCAGAATTTTCTTTGCGTAGCTGTAATCACATGGAGTGGTTGGTTGTTGGTTGTAAAGCTTTGTAAACATTTGAAAGAACGGTGGCTGGTGTGTGCAGATTAAAAGATTTTATTTATTTAAAAAACAAATTAAGACGATGTATTTAATGGTGTCATTTGATTCTATAGCTTTTAGTTTGGGCTCTTATTCTGCTTTCTGAAAGAGACAATGTTAACATTTTCTCATTTTATTATCTTCTACTAGAGCAGTTTGTGTTGCTAAGCAATTTTTTGGCTAGCAACCACCCAGAGGACCCCCATGGTCCGGCGCGCGGTACGTCCTAGCGAGGTAGTAAATGAGAAATGACGCAGAAATTGTCCCTCAGATCATTGTCTGCTGTTTCGAGAAAGCCAGAAGTAACGCAAGCCCCAAACTAAGCTTAATAGAATCAAGGATGACACCATTAAGATAATCTTACTTTAAGTTTTTAAATAATAAAAGTCTTTTTAATTTAGAACGCAGAGATCACATTCTTTCAAATGGTTTCACAAAGTTTAACAAAACCCAATCATTTTTTTGATTAAGAGCTACCAAAGAAAATTCTGGACTTCCATCAAAGGCTGTATTCTGGACAACATAAACTTAAATTTAGCATCAAATATAAAATACGCCAGGCACACACAGCACGACAACACCACATCCCCCTTATCACTGGATAAGTTCAAGCACTTATCAAACTGGTAAAAGGTGAAAGATTATTATGCATCTGAAAAGAAAGCTCAGAGATTGCACTTATAAGGGGTTTCGAGGTTAAAGTAAAAAATTGGCATTAGGCATTTGAAAAAATAAAAACAGTATAGTACTGGTTCTTAGAACAAACAAAACTGAAACCTCTAGGGAAGTATGATTAAGGAGAAAATAAATACACACACACTAGGAAATAAGAAAGAGGATATAATCACAAATAGTAAGGAGATTTTTAAAAACTTAATGATTACTGCTTCTATATTCAATTAAATTTGAAAATCAAGGTGAAATGACATTGAATTTCTGAGGACAAAGTACAAATTACAAAATTTGACTCAAGAGGCAGTGGTAGAAAACCCTCCGTATACAATAACCTACAAAAACGAATTAAGAAGAGGCAATCCGATGGATCTTATCCCCAAACAGATGAAAGACTCCAGAATAGTTTTAATAACGTAAGATCTTATAAATTATAAGCGATATTCTCAATAAATGTTTTTAAAATATTCCAGAGTATTGAAAAAGATGGCAGTACATTTTTCTAAATTACGCTTTCCCAAGAGAGAAAAACTCTGGACCGACCAAAACACAAATTCTAAGAAACAAGAAAAAAAAAGTCATGAGAGCATATAATTATGAAACATTAGATATAAAATTTTCTAAATCAAATACTAGCTCGAGCTATCAACTATAAAATCGTATTCAGAATAATATTAGGTTCAACCATGATCATTGGTTTTACTTGGGGAATTAACTAGCACTTTGTCCATAGGGAAAATCATCTTCATTCTCACTTCAAGCACAAATTGCGCCCTATTTAGTGTTCAAACTCTATAAGCATTCCGTTTAAAATGCAGAATAACGGAAGGAACATGCAAAACACTGCTATTATGTGCGTAGAGGATCTCAGCTATTGTATAAGACAGAAAAAGCTACAGACATAGACTTAGGAAGCAAGGGTGTTGGTTTGCAGATCATATGACCACGCTGTATAGGAACAGTCCAGGATAATCAAATGAAGAAACTAAACGCAAGTAGCAAAAAAGATTTGCTTTCACAAGTGATCAAAAACAGTATCTAGGAATGATCTAAGACTAAGAGACATAAAGACCAAAGATTATATTTAAGGAGCACAAAAGATTTGAATGAAAATTGATAATGCACCACATTCCAAGATTCGCATGTCTCCCCAAAATTTAATAATTAATTTAATGCAATCAAATATAAACCCATGAAGAAAAATTTTGCCCCATTTTAGAACTTGAGAAGGCTAATTTCTTTTTCTTTTCTTTTCTTTTTTTTTTTTTCTTGCCTAAATAGATGGGTTTCACTATGTTGCCCAGCTGCGATACAGTGGGGCTAGACAGGCACGATCACAGCACCACGCATACAGCCCCAAACTCTTGGGAGGCAAGGTGATCCCCTGCTCCGCCTCCCAGTAGCTGGGATTTTGATAAACAGGAAGCCTTCGTTTAGAAAGTAGAACTAATGAAGCTACTGGCTTAAGAGGCATTCGTAAACATACATTAAGTTTCTGGTAAGACGAGCAACAGGACCAAAGCAAGCAAAATAGGCGTACAGTAGTGAGTAACAGATCTGGACTCATATCTATGTTTAGACATATGGCATGCTTGGCAACATCAAATCAAATGAAAAGGGAAAAACAAAATGATACCAAAACACTGGTGTTGACATCCCAAGAAATAATATATAATTCCAGTTAAAAAAAGAAACAACTATCGTACAACAAAAAACAAACAAAAAACAGGCTAATTCCGAAAGGAACCGAAATGCCATAAAAATGAAAAGTTACTCAACCTGAACCAAAATCAAAAAATACAAAATTACATACAAGGCTTGCAATGAACGCCCAGCTGTTTTTTTCTTTCTTCTTGTTTTTTTTGGTAGAGACGCCGGGTCTCGGCTCTTGGATCAGTGGCTAGTCTCCTGAGCTCAAGCATCTTTCCCCACCTGGCTCCACGCAGTGCGTAGGATTAGCAGGCGTGAGCTCCTTGCACCACAGCCTCAAATAAATACCAACATTAAACAATATCTAGTGCTATTAAATCTCTCGCCATCGGGAAAATGCAGCCTGTGCATAGCGGCCAATTATTTGGTGGCACAAGAATTGTTTGGGTATAATTACAAGTATTATGAATTGATTGTTATTTTCTTAATATTGAAGAAAATATTTAAATGCTTAACTAGCATTCTTTTTCTTTAGGTATGGGCTATTCCATGTATCAGGAATTCTGGGCAAAACCTAAACATTAGAAGAAGAGCTGCTGTCTTTGTCTTGGTCTTGTTGGAGAAGCTTGCTATAGTTATTGAGGTTACCTATCGATGTCAAAAATAAATTATTTGAGTGAGTTCAGACAATAATACAGTATTTTGAATATTGGCTTTCTTTCTTGCAGCTTGATTTGCCTGGTGACCAAATTACTAGTGACTAGTTCACTAACTAGGTCATTCATGGGAGTCAAGTTAGCACAAAAAGAAACATGTCACCTAAATGCACTTGGTGATGTTAAAATGTCCCCCTTCTTAAACTGTTAAATGAAATTAGTTCTAAAGAGGACAGCAGGCCAACCCTGAAGTACTTCCAGTTTGCTGCAGAACATCGCATGCTTTGGGTGTCATGTAGGAGTCCTGTTTACCCCAGTTAATTTAACTTTTTTCTGCCTGTCTTGGGGACTGGTTGAGTACTTCAGTTTTGGGGACTGGTTGGCTCTTTTAGAACTCTTTTAAAAAGTGCATGAATATAATTTGTAAAGCTTTTCAAAATTGAAAGTGTATGTGTATGTGTTTAAACCAAACCTAGAAAGCTTACAACAGAGCTGTATAGTAGTAGTATTTATTTCAGAATCATGATTGTAAACATGAGAAAAACTTAATTATGGATTCCCATTTAGCCCTTTTGTAACTGCAAAATTATATTTTTGCTGCTGTTATATTTGAGTAATTTTTAAATGTCACCTTGAAATAGAAATAATATATTTTAAGCATTAATGCATAGGTAAATAAAGACCTTTTTAAAGTGTGTGCATTATGTTTATTTTCTCAGTAAGAATTAGAAATGTTAAACTTAACGAATTGCCTATAATGGGAGTGATTAATGATTTATGAGCAATCTGGTTTGGCCAAACATTGTGCACAAACTTTGATATACTACAGAATATTTCATTACACTTGTCAAATTCTCTTGTGTCAAATTCTCATTACACTTGTAATTCTCTTGTGTATTCTCTCTGAACTTACATTCCATGGTGATAACATGGTACATGTATTGTTATTAAAATAAGTGGACACATCAAATGTCTTGTATTTATTTCAGTTTGGAAAAATAAATCATTCCTCAAATTAGCACAAAAAGTAAGTTCCAAGAAAAAAGATAAAACATTTTGTATCTTTAGTAGGAGCCACAGTATCATTTAAGCTTCCTAACAAGCAGTAGTAACTATGATCCTCATTTGAAAAGACTGAGGCATGAATCACTTAAATAATTTTCCCAAGTTTACATAGCTAGGGAAGGTTGTAGGTTTGGCACTGGAACCTAGGCTGGCGAGCTTAATAGCTTATATTCTATTATGCTGTCCTGCCTTTAGAACTAATCACATGGTTATGCATTTTTTTTCTGGTTTCGATTGCATGGAATTGTCCTTTAAGGACAAAAATCTACTCTTTTGAAGTAGTACGTGCTAACAGGTGTTACAGTCTCAGAATATCTATCAACCTTTGTGAAATTAATGCTGGAGTGGTAGCAGTTAACATAATAAAATTAGACAAGAAGTTGTAATGTCTTACTTAACCCACCTACTTGACTGTATAACCTGGACCAAATCAGAATTTTCTCAGTCTTTTCCTATCTTTCAAATGAGATAGAGCTTGGACTAGATAATTTCTATGGTCTTATCTAACTGGTAAATCATCATATAGTCCTATATGAAAGTGCTTTAAAAAACATAAGATATTAAGAACTATTTTCTCAGCCTTAAATAGACAAGATATGCTTGTAGGCAGTCAATTATTTCATGAAGGATTTTCTGTAGAGGAACAAATTTGGAAACATGTTTCAGAAAATTGGCTTTTTTTGTTGTTCCCTAGTTTAATCATGTTCTGCTTTGTGTTGTGACGTTTTTAGAATATTTTACTATATGGTATTTTTTTATTCTTTGCTTTTTGTGGGTAATTTCTGGTCTGGGGGTTATTCGTATAATTACTACACTCTTCTGTTTCTTCCCAGTTGCTAATAATGCCTAATGAGCAATGCTTAAACCTAGCATATTTCTTTCTCCCTCCTTCACTACCCAGTACTAGTCAGTATGATTATACTTTATCATTTCTACATTGTGAGAATATATAATGTTTATATTCTGTCATCCTCACATTTCTTTATCCTACTTCTACAATTTACATGTAGTCAAAACTCACAAACATTCCCAGCAATCTCTTGGTTGGCAGAAATTAGTGGTTTAATAGTTCCCTGAAGAAAGACTCATAGAACAATTCCCCTAAATTTTTATATGTGTGAATATGTTTATCTGTAACCTTTACACATTAAAAATAATTTGGCTAGATTTAAAATTCTTAGTTCACATTTTGCTTGAGACTATTGAAAATGCTGCTATAGAGAAGCCTAAGGTCATGTGATTTTCCCTAAATAAGTGATTTTGATTTTTTGCTCGGATGCTTAAAAAATTATGTCTTTTTCAAGTCTAATAATTTTAATAATGTAAGTCTTGGCATTGACCTTTCTGGGTCAATTTTCACTACATTTTCAGAAAATTTTCATTCTAATAGATGAGTGTACTGTTGATTTTGTTTAAATAAAAACTAATTTGAGAGCATATTTAGATAAATAGCAGAGGCTAGGGAGAGAAGAGAAATGTTAAGATGGTAATGAGCATTATGTGTTGAAGAGAAAATGAGTGGGATTGCTTGCCTCAAGAAAAGAATGGGAAATAAGTTTGGATGCATAGGCTGGCATCAGATTATAGAAATTATTAAAAGTGGCTCAAGTGGATATAGTGCTATTTTTTATTGAATGAGACCTGCCATTCCTAGCCAAGTAGCCATGGTTTTCTCATCTGTAAAACGAGGACAATGGCAGTGGCCTAGGGTTGCTCGGATTAAATACATTAGTGAATGTAAAGGGCTTACTTAGTTGTAGCACCTGATACATTAGTAAGCTCGATAGATGGATGCTGTTACTATTATTTCTGTGTCAAGTGTAGAAATGCAGCAGCACAGGAGGCACTTGAGCCCTGCCCTCTCAGAATTTATTGTCTAGCTTGGAAGGCTGGCATTAAACAAGTGATTACAACTATAGGGGCCAAGGGAAAACTTTCCCTTTGCCCTTTGAAGGTTCACTGAAAAATCAACTGACAAAAGGCAAATTAATAAGAGAAAAGACATGAAATTTATTTCAATGTACATAACATGGAATCTCAGGAGAATGATTACCCAATAACCCAATGGGGTACAGATGTTTATATGCCCTTCTTCACCGGGAAGAGGGAGATGAGGGAAATGAGGCAATTAGAAGGATTGTAAATGATTTTGGGGGGAAACCCATGGGCTTGGAGAACATGCAACAGCCTGGAACAAAGTCTCTTGGGTCAACAGAGCAGAAAGTAGTTTGTGACAAGTCTGTCCAAGTGTGCTGACAGACCATTCTCTTTTTCTGTGATATGAGTTAAGTTAATGAAAACTAAGGGAAGGGACCAGAGGTAATTGTTTTTTCCTTTGGGGAGTCAGGACTTGGGGATAAGGGAACTTCAGACAACATCTTCATAGAAACCAGGCAGGGAGGTGGGGCGGAGGGGAGGGAGTCAGTTGGTCAAAGAGACCTTGAGGCTGCTCCATAAAAGCACCATATTTTGGGATATTGGATTCTGAGCTTCAACACAACAAAGCATGATGAATATTAGGTATAGGATGCAACAGGAATATCTGGGTGGGGGACCTAACCCAGGGCTGGGGTTGGAGAAAAAGTCTTCTGCAGAAAATATTCTACTTTAAGGAGGTGATGTGTTGATTTTTCATTGAGAGTTACATTCCTTGGCTTAATGTTGGATGTTATTGGAGCATTGGTGTGTGTGATTGCTTCCATGCCTCTCTCTCCCATTGTCAGTTTGAGGGTATGATGGTCTTTTTCATCCAGATCACCTGGCTCATACAAGTAAGTGTTCAGTGTCTGTTGAATTCATTAGAATAAACAGGTTTTGGTTTTGGGGTCAGGCATGGTGGCTTACACCTGTAATCCCAGCACTTTGGGAAGCTGGGGTGGGAGGATTTGAGGCCATGAGTTTGAGGTCAGCTTGAGCAACATAGCAAGACCCTATCTTTACAAAAAAAATTTTTTTAATTAGCTGAGCGTGGTAGCATGTGCCTGTAGTCCTAGCTACTGAGAAGGCTGATGCAGTAAGATTGCTTGAGCCCAGGAGTTCTAGGTTACAGTGAGCCATGATCGCCCCTTCACTCCAGCCTGGTGACAAAGTGAGACCTCGACTCTTAAAAAGAAAAAAAAAATTTTATTAATACATTCGGGATCTTAACTGTCTCTAGAAAAAGTTTACCTACCTATTTCTAGTTAATGAGCAACAGTGACATCTGGTGGTAAGGGTTTGAATTTGATTCCACACTTAAAAGTAAATCCGTGTCAATCTGCTGCTACTTTATCACAGAATCGGAATTTTGGAGTGGTCTGGGCCATTCCAAAAGAGGACTGGGTATGTAGGCCATGTATGCCTCTTGTCTAACAGATGAGGAACTATTGCTCAAAGAGTTTCAGGATCTTGAAATTTAGGCTTTATTCCTGTGTAAATCTATATAGCCCATCACATAACTACTTAGGCCAGAACAGAACTGAAATGAACATAAAGTATTTTAATGTTCTCCTGGGCCAAATAGTAGAACCGCCAAATATGGTGTGTACATTTGGTCCCGCTTGAAAGCTCTGCAAATAGAATGGGGAAAATTGAGAGAGGAAACAGAACATGCACCAGTCAGGCTGGATTGCAACTCTATCAGTGAATAACTTTGTATAAATTCATGGAAGAACCAGCACCCCTGATGCAGCCTGGTTTCCCCTTAGTCACTGAAATGAAGCAAAAGAATTTATTTTTTGCAAGACAAAAGATAGGAAAATCTCCCATTAAATTCAGTAGTGATAAATGGGTCTAGAGTGGAGGTGAGTATCCAATTGGTCTCCCCAGAGGAACCCAGGAATGGGTCTATTAGCTCCAATTTAGTATTCTGAGCTTCTTATAATGTTGGTGCTAAGTCCTTTTCCTATCCCCAGTGTAACTCTGAAGTGTTACAGAGTGACTAAAATTTTGCCATCACACCTTTCAGTTACAGTCCTTACCTAATCTCACCATGTCTACTGTCTTCCCCTCTGGTCCCCTTCCTAGCTCACTCACTTCTATCAGCGATACCCCCATCCCCCACTGTTACCCCCTGGGCTCAAACTCTTAAAGGTGTCTTTCCTTCTTCCTGTTCTTTTATCACTAGTAAATCAGTCACCAAGTCCTGTCAGTTTTTCACAAGCAGAGTCATCACTCAGATTTGTCCTTTCTGTTCCCCTATTGCCTCCACTACTTTAAACCTACGCCCTTCACCTCTTGTTTCCACTACCCAGCACTACCAGTATTTGTTTGACCTTTATAAGAAGGAGGCTGAAATCTCATATACCACTGTGGAGGTGGTAAATTAAAAATTAGTAAGTGCACAAGGTGTTTGGGACCTAATCAGGAGAGAAACTGATAACTTACAGGCATCAGGTGATTTTCCTTCAAGTGTTTTGAAAGACTGTGATCTGAGCCAAGAATGGAGTTGAGAAATTTGGGTGGAAAGTAAAACTATGTTATTAACCTTGTGCTGAAGGCTTGGTGGAGAGCCAGGGTAGATCTCATCCATCAGAGAGGTCCTTTGGAACTAAGGATTGTTGAATCTTGGCAGAACATCGAGTTTTCTAATAAAGTCAACCATGATGAATGAGAATGAGATCACATATATACAAGCACATCTTAGACAAAATAGCTCCATGGATAAAATAAGATTGACTGTAGCCAAAATAGTATTAAACTAAAACACAAAATGTGCTAGGGAGTCTATGGGATGCCAGTAGCCAACAAAGTCCAAATCCATGGCAAGTTGAAGAGGCTAGAACTTCCAGCAAGAAGGGACTTGAACCTAGAGAAAGTTAACAATTTTTTTAATATGTGGATGGTTCCTGGTTGTGAAGTAGAATAATTTAATAAGGCTTAACCCTGGGCCAAAAAATATCTCAAGGCAGTTTGCTTCTCTTTGCT